AATCCATACCGACAACCTTTATTAACTCTACTAGTATGCTCAAATCATTCTGATCTTCTTGTTCGGCATGCCGCTTCGTTTCTTCAAAAAAATGCGTATAAACGAGGAGGCCTTTCCGTCTTCCCGCTAGTGTAGCGACTAACGCGGACTGATCGACGAGGCAAGCAGCCAAGCAGGCGCGCTTCACAAATAGGAGGTTGGGCCACCGTTTAAGGTTATTGTCTTAGGATTGGAGGCCCTCTTTGGAGGCCCTCTTAGGATTGGAGGCCCTGTGCAGGTGCTCCATTTGCACTTGGGATGGGCCGGGCCTGGTAATGGTGATGTAATTGTAAACTTATTTAGTGGTAGTTTAGTCTACTTTTGGACTCAATATGTATGGAGTAGAATTGTAAGTTGTTGAATTATGTTTATGTTGTAGTACTTGAAGACATACTGATCAACGATAACGATCTTTTGTTTAAGTAGCTATTGTTTAAATTTTTAATGATGGATATGATTTAATTTAAATTAAACAGGAATTTCTATAAATAATCAAAATATAAAACCAAATACAAATAATCTGCGGCGGTTTTTTCAATAAAAACTGCTGCGCATCGAATTTATTTACAAGAGCAATATGTGGCGGTTGTTCCAGTAAAACCCGACGCCCTACACACACTACTACATTTAGACGCTTTTTGCAACGCCCGAAAGTGTTACAACTAGTTAAAAAAAACCGTTACAATATGTCAAATGTAACAGTTTTGTGGTGTTACATTCGCTAGCGTTGCCTTAGATCATTTGTAACGGTTGGTAAGACTTTGAAGATCAAATGTAACAGTCTTTGAAATTGTTACATATATTGGACAACCGTTACAAGAGTCAAATGTAACATTTTCAGATAGCAAAAAGTAACACTTCCGAAAAATATGAAATTATTAATTATTGAATATATTTTATATTAATATGTAAGTATGTAAAATACATATGAGGGACACACATGCATGCATTGTTACATATATCAAATAACACACTTTTAAAATATTCCTAATGATGGATGAGAATAAAATTAACTACAAAATTTCAACAAAAGTATATACACATACATTGATAATATCAATCCATGAGTCGCTGACATATACTATCTAACTAGCTCATCAACTCAAAGTACAACAAGATATAATAATTAAAAGAAAATTCGAATTCAAAAATGCTCCTCGCTTGATGAAGCATTCCTTGAAGAAGCCTAATTCATCACCGGCCCGGTTCCACCCTTTTCTCTTCATATCTATCTCTGAGTTTGGATATGTATCAAACAAGACAAATCATTAGCATTGAATTTCCACAAAACCAAATTGTTCATTAAATTAAAGATACTAAGTTGAAGCCTATAATAAATGGAATAATCTTTGTCTACTAAATGTTATGGAGTACAAAAATAAATATTATAACAAAGAGAGCTTTGATGTTTGGAAAATATCAAGCAAGTGATAGATAGGCATATAATTAAAAGTCAAGACAATGTGTATAGTATGCAAAAGTAAAAGGTGCTTTTCTATCCTATGAAAATATGACATATAGGATGACGAACCTTAGGATGATATATTCGTACAAGAGGCCACACATATGTAAACTTGGCAAAGAATGAGAAGTATAAATCCATGCAAAACAATAAAGTTTGGGAACTCATCCCATTACCTGAAGGTTGTAAACCCATTGGTTGTAAATGGATATTTAAAACCAAAAGGGATTCAAGGGGTAATGTGGATAGATATAAAGCGCGTCTTGTAGCCAAAGGTTATACTCAAAAGGAAGGAATTGATTATAAAGAGACCTTTTCTCCGGTTTCATCAAAGGACTCTTTTAGAATCATTATGGCTTTAGTTGCACATTTTAATTTAGAGCTTCATCAGATGGATGTTAAGACGGTGTTTCTCAATGGTGACATTGATGAAACTATTTATATGGTGCAACCAGAAAATTTTGTGATTGAAGATCCAAAACAAATGGTTTGCAAATTAACAAAATCCATCTATGGGCTAAAACAGGCTTCTCGTCAATGGTATCACAAATATTATCAAGTCATTTTATCATTCGGTTTTAAGATGAATGATGTAGATGATTGTGTATATCATAAGTTCAGTGGGAGTAAAATCTTTTTCCTGGTCTTATATGTTGATGACATTCTTCTTGCCGCTAATGACATAGGCATGTTGCATGAAACCAAGAGATTTCTATCAAAACATTTTGAAATGAAAGATCTTGGTGAAGCCTCCTTTGTATTACGAATTGAAATCCTTCGTGAGAGATCACAAGGAATCTTAAGGTTATCACAAAGGAACTATGTCGATAAGGTCCTTAAAAGATTTGGCATGGAAGATTGTAGACCGTGTGATACCCCTATCTCTAAAGGAGACAAGTTTAGTCTCGATCAGTGCCCTAAAACAAATCTGGAAATTCAAGAAATGAAAAAGATTCCCTACGCATCTGTTGTAGGAAGTCTTATGTATGCCCAAGTTTGTACGCGTCCGGATATTGCGTACATTGTTGGGATGCTAGGCAGATATCTCAGTAATCCAGGAATGGCTCATTGGGTGGCGGCCAAAAGAGTTATGAGATACCTAAAAAGAACAAGGGACTATATGATTACCTATAGAAAATCAGATCATTTGGAGGTCGTTGGATACTCCGACTCTGGTTTTGTCGGCTGCAAAGACAGTAGTAGATCTACATCAGGCTATGTTTATCTACTAGCATGTGGTGCTGTATCTTGGAAAAGTGTTAAACATGATATGATAGCTACCTCAACTATGGAGGCAGAGTTGTTGGCCTGTTTTGAAGCTTCAAACCATGGAATATGGATGCGCAATTTTATTGATGGGCTAAAAATATTAAATGAAGCTTCAAAGCCTATCAAGATATTTTGTGACAACAATTCTACGGTGCTTTACTCTAACAACAACAAGAGCTCGACCAAGACAAAACACATTGAAGTGAAATATCGAGCTATTAAAGAAAGGGTTCAGAATAAAAGGGTCGCTATTGATCATATAAGTACAAACTCCATGCTAGCAGATCCTTTAATCAAGGGTCTCCCACCAAAAGTTTTTCATGAGCATACTGTTCACTTGGGAGTCATTGATTTTAAGGAACCTCAAGTTTAGTGGGAGTTTATCAGTTATGCTTGATGTTCTATTGCTTTATGAATTTATTTTCTGATCAGAATAAAGTTTGACATTTGGTGTATTCTGAACAATTACGTTATTAAAGTTTAAAGTTTACTAAAGAAGGGTCAGTTGAAAATTTACATGCACATGCCACATTTCATGTAATGTTCATGCTACACATTTCATGATTGATCTATGTCATTATGTAATATTGATACTAGTGATCATTGGTGGTATAGTTATGTTTAACATGACAAAATGCTGCAATGGTTCTATATTAGTATGCCTAATGGACCAGATTGTTTAAGGATGTTATTTTATATGATGGTATTTTTGAGCTCATAAAGTTAACACATTTTGCTAAAGAATTACATATAAGGCCCAGTGGGAGATTGTTGGAAACAATAAAAGAGGCCTAATATGTAATTAATTAAAATGTGTTTACCATCAGATAAATAATACAGTGGCTATTCATGAAATAATAAAAGTGTAGATACCAGGATAATATATTTCTTTTGGTGACGGGTCAAATAAATATATTACGCTAAAGTGATACAACGGTTATGACCCCCGGTGCGTGTAAATTAAGAGATAACAGTAAAGATATTGTAACGGAAAATGGCCTAATAAATTATTCTAAATAATATCATTATTGTAATAATAATAAAAGAGTTATTAGAATATTAAGGGCCAACTGTTACAATATTCCACTACTCCTATAATTATTCCATCTATTCTCAAGGACTAGGTAACATCTCATACGCCGATCAATCGTGTTGGATTCCGGGTAGGGCTGCACATCGGGCGGGTTTGGTCGGGTTTGCTATATTTTTTGGGCCTACCCGATTTGTTCAGGTTGGCTATTAACCAACTCGCGGTACGCAAAATAAGTTGGTAAACCATGCATGAACGGGTCGGGTAGGGTCGGGTATTGGGGAAAAAAATCACTTCGGGTTGCATCTTTCATATGGGAAATTAATGTAACCAATTTAAAACTCGATTAACTTGTTTCCAAAACACACAAACAAATACAAGTACTCGTATCTTTTATAAGCACAACATTAGGTAATAGTATTAAAACATCTTTCTGTAAATGAAGTTCATTTAGAAGGAAACGTAAATAGTATATAATAATCACCTAGTCAAAATGATAAATGTTTAATTATAATTCTAATATCATAAAATCCTAGATAGAGCACATTGGTCTTAAATTGAAATTATCCAAGAAAACGTTGCAGGCTTTGCAGCATAATAATAGTAAAATGAACTTCGGCCGGGTCGGGTACTATCAGGTTTGAGATTTTAATTCCCCAACCCTACCCATTAGGTGCGAGTTCAAACATATTTAACTCATGAATATTTTAAAAAATCAAATACCTGATTAAATAGAGTCGGGTAAGGTTGGGTCGGACGGGTTATACGGGTTCGGGTTATTCTTGTGCAGCCCTAATTCCGGGTCTTCTTAAAGTGTTAATGCAAATGAATTCTCAAGGTATTGTTCTAATCTTAGTTCATACATATTTGATTTCATGGATTTATATGGATTTAGTTATTATATATTTATATATATATTGCATACGGAGTTTTTGTTGATATATATATATATATATGAATATCCATCAAATATTACGGAGTACTTGATACCGAGTACATACTACGGAGTAGAAATAATTAGTACGTGCAAAATTAATGTATAATATAATTGAGTTTAGAATAATAGATAAGAACTTTAAAAAATAGGAGGAAGCTCGAAACGTTTTCCAGAATGGAATGCAATATATATAAACACAGTCACACAGATATTCAGGAAGTAAATCACAATACTAATGAATGAGAACCCTAATATAAAAACGGCGGTCACAAGACTCTTTATATACAAGACGATTTGTTTGAACAAAACAAACAAAATCAATTCAAGCATGCCATCCACATTACACATGTAGATATAGATATAATCATGAGTGTAGTTAAATGTTAAATTTTGTAATTAATATTCGAACTACTAGACTAAAGATCCTATTAGCTAGCTAGCTACATCGTATATGGTTGGAAAGGAAATTGAGCCGGGGTTCTACAGAGGGGGCAGGATTTGGTAATGGCCAACCAGACGGAGATGCAATCTGAATGAAACTTATGATCGCAGGCTTGAAGAACTGTGGACAGCGCGCCCTTCTCGAACCCTGTGAAGCAAATTGCGCACCCGTCCTCCACTCCCGCCCTTACGCTCCCTTCCTCGAACGTTCTTATATTCAGCCGAACCTCCGGCGGTGGACGGCGGGGTAGTCGTCCTCCAATATTGACGAAGACGTTGGTGTTGAGAACAGGTGGGGGCGACGGCGGGGGCGTGATGCGGCGCAAACAGGAATCCAAGCACATAGTTATAGTGAGGGCTGCTGCCCACATAATAAGCACACCGGTCAAGGTTACAACTTACAACATCAGTAATATCCATCCTTTTAGATCACACCAATACAATATAATAAGCGAAGCTCCTGATGTGTGTATACGAAGTATGTAAGGTTAGGGTACGGATTTATGGCGAGTATTTTTGTCTCAATCTGAACTCCTGAAAGGAATAGGGGTCTGGGAATTAAAATGATATTGTTATACCGCGTATTAATTGTATATTAATGGTATCCCATAAATCGTGAACTTTTTTGTTTCTAGAATTGTAAATCTTGTCATTTACTCAAATACTCAAAACATTTTACGGAGTATAAATTAATTTAGTTTCTATCATTTATATAATTTCACTTTAATACACTTTTATTCAAATTTAGTTCTTTTCATTATATTCTTTTTTATCAATACCAAATTAAATGATTCGAGGGTCGGCGGGTGAAAGTGGTCCGTTTATCTTCATTCCATTTCTGAATGTTGTGTTATCAATCTAAGCCGCTTTTTTCCAAAAAAGAAAGAATCAAATTAAGGGGGTGTTTAGCAAATGGTCGTTGGTTGTTGACTGTTGGCCGATTGTGTTGGCCGATTACTGATAGCGGATTTTGTTGACTGTTTTGATTAGCTAATAGTATTATCGCAGTTTGTAAATTGATGTTTGGCTAAATGGTTGTTTAAAATCAGCTGATAACTTGTCAAATGACTTTTAAGAACATCAATTTTTTATCATAAAAGAGCGGTCGTTGTACTAAAATCGAGAACACATACAAGACATCTTTTAGACAGAATTTACAGATTCAATCGTGAACCTTGGAAGTAGACTTTGAGTCATTTACCTCATACAAAGCAACATGACTCGTTAAACCTGAAACGGGCAAATTTAGGCCTAAAACGATTAGAACTAAGCCCTGCCTATCAAAAAACTTCCAAAAATCCAAACATTCAAATCAAATCTACTAGGACTAAAACGGAAATAAGTACTACTAAAAGAGAAAATTTTATTGAAATAAAATCTTTCCACAAATCTCTTCCTAGTATGGAGGTGGTTCTGGAGGAGGACGAGCTCTTACAATACGCGTGAATACCAACTCCTCCACCGTCAGAATGACCGACCAAGGCTTGACGAGCTCAAAACATTTTACGGAGTATAAATTAATTTAGTTTCTATCATTTATATAATTTCACTTTAATACATACACTTTTATTCAAATTTAGTTCTTTTCATTATATTCTTTTTTATCAATACCAAATTAAATGATTCGAGGGTCGGCGGGTGAAAGTGGTCCGTTTATCTTCATTCCATTTCTGAATGTTGTGTTATCAATCTAAGCCGCTTTTTTCCAAAAAAGAAAGAATCAAATTAAGGGGGTGTTTAGCAAATGGTCGTTGGTTGTTGACTGTTGGCCGATTGTGTTGGCCGATTACTGATAGCGGATTTTGTTGACTGTTTTGATTAGCTAATAGTATTATCGCAGTTTGTAAATTGATGTTTGGCTAAATGGTTGTTTAAAATCAGCTGATAACTTGTCAAATGACTTTTAAGAACATCAATTTTTTATCATAAAAGAGCGGTCGTTGTACTAAAATCGAGAACACATACAAGACATCTTTTAGACAGAATTTACAGATTCAATCGTGAACCTTGGAAGTAGACTTTGAGTCATTTACCTCATACAAAGCAACATGACTCGTTAAACCTGAAACGGGCAAATTTAGGCCTAAAACGATTAGAACTAAGCCCTGCCTATCAAAAAACTTCCAAAAATCCAAACATTCAAATCAAATCTACTAGGACTAAAACGGAAATAAGTACTACTAAAAGAGAAAATTTTATTGAAATAAAATCTTTCCACAAATCTCTTCCTAGTATGGAGGTGGTTCTGGAGGAGGACGAGCTCTTACAATACGCGTGAATACCAACTCCTCCACCGTCAGAATGACCGACCAAGGCTTGACGAGCTCAAAACATTTTACGGAGTATAAATTAATTTAGTTTCTATCATTTATATAATTTCACTTTAATACATACACTTTTATTCAAATTTAGTTCTTTTCATTATATTCTTTTTTATCAATACCAAATTAAATGATTCGAGGGTCGGCGGGTGAAAGTGGTCCGTTTATCTTCATTCCATTTCTGAATGTTGTGTTATCAATCTAAGCCGCTTTTTTCCAAAAAAGAAAGAATCAAATTAAGGGGGTGTTTAGCAAATGGTCGTTGGTTGTTGACTGTTGGCCGATTGTGTTGGCCGATTACTGATAGCGGATTTTGTTGACTGTTTTGATTAGCTAATAGTATTATCGCAGTTTGTAAATTGATGTTTGGCTAAATGGTTGTTTAAAATCAGCTGATAACTTGTCAAATGACTTTTAAGAACATCAATTTTTTATCATAAAAGAGCGGTCGTTGTACTAAAATCGAGAACACATACAAGACATCTTTTAGACAGAATTTACAGATTCAATCGTGAACCTTGGAAGTAGACTTTGAGTCATTTACCTCATACAAAGCAACATGACTCGTTAAACCTGAAACGGGCAAATTTAGGCCTAAAACGATTAGAACTAAGCCCTGCCTATCAAAAAACCTCCAAAAATCCAAACATTCAAATCAAATCTACTAGGACTAAAACGGAAATAAGTACTACTAAAAGAGAAAATTTTATTGAAATAAAATCTTTCCACAAATCTCTTCCTAGTATGGAGGTGGTTCTGGAGGAGGACGAGCTCTTACAATACGCGTGAATACCAACTCCTCCACCGTCAGAATGGCCGACCAAGGCTTCACGATCCCGCCTCGATACAACCTCTGAGTCGCACCTCGTTCATCCGCCAATGCTATCTCCTCCGACTTAGTTGCAATTTCAAGTGTTAAAACACTTAAAATCAGTATAATTTGCCGCTCCAACCTCATATTGATAGGGATGGTGGAAAATATCAATCCCTACAAAGAGGGGAGACGACCGCTTAATAATTTAATAATATGCATGTAAGGAGATCAATTATTTTTTTTATTAATGTTAGGTCGTATATGTAGAGCCATTTAAAACATTTATAATTTATGATTTAAATCATTTTTCTGCCCTCTAGACAACTCTAGTTATTATAATTTCAACTTTCTTAACTTATATCTTAAGTCAAATAAGAAGATAATATGGGAAGGAATAGTTTCATTCTCAAGCCTTTGACACCTAACCACCCCGGCCTATTCAGTTGTCACCCAAACGCCGCCAATTACCTTTACTCACCGCCAACAATGACCATAAATCTCGAAGGATCCGACGCTAGTTACCTCAATTCACTGTTAATAATGTATTTATTACCTAGAATAAGTGTCCAAAAACGGAGTGGGAAGACGATTGATAATATAGGTAGCTGTAAAAACGGCATCAAGTCATCAACCCAGAATTTACCTGGCATTTTTGCCTCATGTTTTTTTGTGGCTAATAAAGATCCTAAATGGAGAGCGGCTATGGCCGAGGAGTTTAATGCTCTTATAGATAATCATACTTGGGATTTAGTTCCATTTAATTCTCGTAAAAATGTGGTCGGGTCTAAATGGATTTATAAGACTAAATTTAATTCTGACGGGTCTGTTGAGCGTCATAAAGCGCGTCTGGTGGCACAGGGTTTTACTCAACAAGCTGGTGTGGATTTTTCTGAGACATTTAGTCCTGTGGTTAAACCCACTACTGTTCGTATTGTTTTATCTCTGGCAGTGTCCTTTGGTTGGATTATGCGTCAGTTAGATGTTAAAAATGCATTTCTTCATGGTAATTTGACAAAGGAAGTTTATATGCGTCAGCCTCCAGGTTTTATTCATTCCTCATCATATTAGTCGTCTCAGGAAGGCTATCTATGGTTTGAAACAGGCCCCAAGAGCCTGGCTCTACCGGTTTAGTAGTTTCCTATTAACCCATGGCTTTGTTTGTAGCAAGTCTGATAATTCTTTATTTATTTTTCGCCAAGGGTCCACTATTCTTTATCTTCTTCTCTATGTTGACGATATAATTATTACCGGTAATTCCCCATCTTTTATTACCAACTTTATTTCGTGTCTTGGTCGATATTTTGCTATGAAAGATTTAGGGGATTTACATTTTTTCCTGGGTGTCCAAGCTGTTCGTCATTCTAAAGGATTGTTCTTATCTCAGCAAATGTATATGTCTGATTTGTTAACAAGGTTTCATCTTCATACTCTTAAACCAGTTCGTACCCCTCTTCCTTCACGAACTAAGCTATCTCTCACAGATGGCGATCTTCTTGCAGAACCTACTGAGTACAGAAGTATGGTAGGTGCTTTACAGTATTTAACTATGACTCGCCCTGATATTACATTTGCTGTTCACCTGGTTTCTCAGTTTATGCATGCCCCCCGTACTTCCCATATGTTGGCTGTTAAGCGTATTTTCAGGTACCTTCAAGGCACCCCAGATCATGGTTTACTGCTACGGCCGAATATTACAGCTCCTACTCTACATGCATATTCTGATGCTGATTGGGCCGGTTGTCCAAACAGTAGTCGCTCCACATCTGGCTTTGCTATATTTTTGGGGCCTAACTTAGTCTCTTGGAAGTCCAAGAAACAACCTACGGTCTCCTGGTCTTCTACTGAAGCTGAGTATCGGGCCATTGCTTACACCGTTCAAGATACACTACACATTCGCTCCATTTTATTTGAGCTTGGGGTACCTATATGCACGCCTGTTAAGCTGTTCTGTGATAATGTCTCTGCTTCTTATTTATCTATGAATCCTATTTAGTATGCTCGCAGTAAACACATTAGCATTGATTATCATTTTGTTCGAGAGCGTGTCTCGCATGGAGATCTGGTTGTTCGCTATGTACCTACGCAGTTTCAGCTGGCAGATATTTTTATCAAGTGCTTGTCTCCTCAACGGTTTAATTTTCTTCGGGACAATCTGTGCGTTATTTCTCCTGCACAGATATATTGAGGGGGTGTAATAATGTATTTATTACCTAGAATAGGATTTCCATATCTTGTTAGTTTCCTATTGTATTTTGGACACTTATTCTATTATATATATGACATCCAGGGCTACCTATTGGGTAAGCCATTCCATTATTCTCACAACTA